CACACACACACACACACACACACACACACTCATTGAGCACGCAAAAACAAATGCGTTGAGCACACAGGCACAAAAATATCGCACACAAACACAACACACACACACACACACACACACATACATACTTTCCCTCCTCCATCCCGCCCCAAGGTGGAGGACAACCGCAAGCTGCTGCCCAGGGCCATGGCCGACCTGCCCGGCGGCGGCCTGGGCCAGGGCGTGGTGCTGACTGTGATGGACCAGAGCCAGGGGGGCTTCAGCGTTGACGTCATCATAGAGCACAGGGTGGGCGGCGCTGCAGGGGCGGGGCGGGGAGGCGGCTGCCGCTGGCGGCTGGGTCGGGAGCGGCTGAGGGGAGGGAGGGGATGCGGGAACGGGCCGGCCGGGGCGCTTTTAGGGAGGGCGTGGTGGGGCGCGTGGGACGACTTAGGTGCAGGGCAGGGGCATGGAGAGGTATTGTGTTCGTGTGTGTGTGTGTGTGTTCAGGTGTGTCTTTGTATGTGCATGAGTGTTCCTAGGCACGCACAGGACTGAGAGTCGGCGCGTCTCACGCCCTGGTGGGTTGCCACTGCCTGGTGACGTCATCTGCTGGGGTATGACCGAGGGAAGGGGGCCCGCCTGATGGCGCCAGCGCAGCTGCGCACGCGGCGCTGAGCAAGCACAGGGCACTCAGAAAAGTTGCAGGCTGCCGTCCTCAGGTGTAGCCCGCTGCGCCGGCAGGTCCCACCCACTGTGGTGACATCCCAACATGCACCACCTCACCGCCGCGTGTGTGGCTACTTCTGCTGCAGGATTCTATTGACGAGGAGCGCCACCCCGAGGGGTTCATCCTGGAGGGAGAGCTGCCCTCTGCTGCGCCCCCGGCAGGACAAGAGGGCGAGCAGCAGCAGCAGCAGCAGCAGCAGCAGCAGCAAGATGCCGCAGCGGCGCCGCCGGGCGGCGGCAAGAAGCGCGGCAGGGAGGAGGGCGCCGCGGCCGGGGACGCGGATGGCGACGCGGTCGTGCTAGAGGTCGGGCAGGACGAGACCGCGGCTGCGGCGGGGGCACCGGGGGCGAAGAGGGCCAAGCAGGACGGCAGCGAGGGCAACGGAGGCGGTGGGGGTGACGAGGCAGACGGGGACGTCATCGTCATCGGCGATGACGACGACGACGAGGCGCTGTGACTTTTTAATCTGCCGGCTGGCTGACGCTGCTGACGACGGGGGGGATGGTGACAGCCATCAGAGGGCGGCAGCAGCTGACGCGCAGCCGCAAGGGTTCACAGCCCGAGCTGTCGCTGTCGGTCAAGCCGGCGAGCAGCAAAGATAAGACAGACCGCGGGCTTGTGCTTGATCGCCAGGGAAGTACCTGCCGGTACTTCTCAAGTGAGCGCAGCGCCACCCTGCGCTCCCTGCCGGCTGCTGCTGGACGATTTCCTGTGCTGTCAGTCTGGTATTGAAAGCCAGGCAGGACGGCTGGGCGTGCTGCACGCGTGGTCTTCTCCGCCCGCGATGGCCCGCAAAACCACAGGTCCCTTTCTGGCGAGACAAGCCCAGCCCCCCGGAAGTGGCGGACAGTGCTTTGGCCACGTTGACTGGGGGTTACAGGGCACAGGGTCTCAAGGGGGCCTCCAGCCGCGCCGCGAAAGATGAATCGCAGTGCGCAGCGCGCCCTCGTGGCCCGTGCGACGCCAGGCCCCGCCGTCCTCAACGCGTGTGGGCGGTCGACAGTCTCCCGTGGCAGGGTGCGCGGTGTGGCAAGTGCGGTGTCGGTGGCGGCACGGGGCCCGGTGGTCCTTTGAGTCGGCCACGGTGTTGTGTAAAGATAGGGGGGTTGCGATGGGAGGAGAGCGGTGCGGCGCCTTGACAAGGCCGGCGTTGCCCCCAACGCCCAACGCACGCCCTCTGGCCTCCTCCTCGTTACGCGAAATTAATCAACTGCTTTTTTTGTGTGTGCCTTTTTTGTGTTTTCGTCTCAAAAGGGCAACGGGGCCCCTTAGTGCTGTGCCAAAACCCCCAACTTCCCTGCTGCCACCCCCAGACTTCGCCGCTATTGCCATGTCACCGTGCACGCCGCCGCGCCACAGGCGCCGCCGCCAGTGCAGGGGGCGGGCGGGCGGGGCCCTGGCGGCCCGAGCCCCGCCCCACCCGATCGTGCCCCCTGCGCCCGCGGCGTCCGCCGGCCGCGCAAGCGGCGTCAGGGCCGGACCGGCGCAGCCCAAAAACCGCAGGAGATCCTCAAAACCGCAGCAGAATGAACCGCAAGCCCAGCCTCGGGAGGCCGACAGGCGTGCCCAGGGCCAAAAATGCCCCCGGCTCCGCGCGCGACGCGTTCTACTTTGGCGCTCGCTGCTGGGAGGGGCGGGGGCTGAGTGTGGAGGGTCGGCGGCTCGGAGCATGTACAAAACGGGACACGAAACGCTCGGATCTCAGGGCGACGATGGGGCCGGCAGGACGGCATCGGATCTCAGTGCAAAAAGAAGGGGCACACAAAGGGGACGCGGTAGGCGTTGGCAGTCCTCGGGCGCACGCTGTCGGGGCGGTGATGCCATCATTCTAGATTCCTTGAGGCAGGAGCGCCGACGGGCGCACGCGCACGCGCGCCTGGCCGAGTCCCGGGGCCGCTAGTGGGCGTGGCCGCCGGCCGGCTGTGTGTGTGTGCGCACTCACACGCGCGCATGCGCCGTCGCGAGCCCGCGCGTCGGCTCGTGTTATCTATCCGGGCTCGTCGTGGGAAACGATGCGGATTCATGCAGCTGAGCCACCACGCTGAGAGATGCGGCGCAACACGGCCGCCGGCTCGGGGCAGGGCCGAGGGGGGATGGTCCCCCCACGTGGCAGGTGGTGGGTTGGGTCATGTGCACGCGGACGGGAAGGTGGAGAGTGCGCCTGGTGGCGGGGCGGCGGCTGTGGCAGTGATGGAAGGTGCGGCGCTCGCGAGGGAGACGCGGGGGGCAGGGGTCATGGGGCGTCTCAAAAAGAGGGCTCGAGTGCGGCCAGGGGGCAGGGGCGGCGCGCCGACCGCCGCGGCGCGCGGGCCGCCGGCGGGCCCCGCGGGAAGTGCAGCGCAGCCTTGCTGAAGCGCGACGAAAGGAAGGGGGTTCAGCCCCGGGCGTTGAGCCCTCCGCACCCCTGGTGTCCCTTGGACGAGGTGGCGAAACCAGCAGCCGTCCGGGTGGCAGCTGTGCGAGGGGCCTTTTGGGAAGGGCTCCTCAAGTGCTGCCTGCTTGCTTTGCGGCCATGCAACCGCCATCTCAGTCTCGACGCGCACACACAGACGCACAAGCAAAAGGATGAAACCGCGCGCCCGCAGCCGCGCTGGCCGGCGCGCCGCTCGGCTGCGGCGCGCGCGGCTGCGCCTGCGAGCGGCGCCGCGTGGGCGCCGACAGGCACGGCGGGGTGAGTCAGGACAAAGGCCACGCGGGGTGCGATGCGGGCGGCGAGCGGCCCGTTGCGGCGCCTGAGAGCGGGGCCCCGGGACCTGGGCGCACCACAGGGGCTGGGCCGGCGCTTTGAGCGGGCGCGGCCCGCACGCCGCAACGCAAGGGGGGCGGTTTGCGCCCGTTTTGGTGCGCTGATGCGTGGGCACGCGTGCCGGCCCTCACCCCTCCGTCCCTGGGCCCCAAGCCGCTGGCCGAGCCTGTCGGTCGCGTGTTGGCGGCTTGGGGTGTGGGGAGTGCGTGGCCCGGCCAAACACACACACACGAGCGGCGCGGGCGCGCGCACGGGAAGGGTGGACACATGCAAGCGTGGCAGATTGGCAAAGAGCGGCGTGCGGCGACCGCTCAGCAAAAAGGAACGGGGCCGGCCGTGGGGCGGCGGACGGCCCCCGGTGGCGTCGCGCCGGGCAGTGCGTGGAGGTGCTGGGGTGAATGAGCGGGTGCGTGTGTTGAGTTCGGAGTTGGGCGCGGACGAAAGAGACGCTGGTAAAGGCAAGGGACCAGAATCGGCCCCGGCGGCCCTGCGGGACGGGCGCGCCGCCGGGGCCGAGGGTCAACCGCCGCCTCAAAGCGGGCGGCGCGGGGAGTCTGTGGCGGCCTCGGCCTCAATGCGGCAACCGCGGCGCGGCCCCGGACGCGCGCGCTCGCGCATAGCGCGCACCGCGCGTGCCGCGGGCGCCGGCCGCGAGGTGTCAATCGCCGGGCGAGCAGGGGCGCCGGCGCGGCCGGGCTCGCGGCCATGGGATCTCTTTTCTCTTTTTTCTTCTCTTATGAGCAAACACAACGGGTTCAAGCCGCAGGCCCGGCGGGGCCGGGGGGCGCGCGTGGGCGGGGCGGGGGCCGACGTCGCCGCAATGCCGCGGCGGCGGCCCTTTCAATCCGGGGCCCCGCGGTGGCCAGTGCGTCTCCTGATCTGCCACCAAAGAGCTTGGTGGCCTGTACAGCGGAGGTGCGACAAGCCCCGCCCCCCGGGCGCGCAAGCAAGGGCGCGCCGTCAAGGCGCGCCGCCCGCCCGCGCCCGCGCCGCCGCCGGCGACGCGCCCGGCGGCGCGACGCCGGGCGCGGTGACGACATGTGGCATTGGCATGCCCCAGACCATGCCCGGCGCGCAGCCGGGCGGCGCGCAGGCCGCGAGCATCATGGGCGGCCATCCGTACGCCATCCAAGGCGGCAGGCACATCGGCGCGCCGGCCATCATCCCGGCCGGAGGCGCCGCCGCCGACGCGGCGGCGCACGGCGCCGTGGGCGCACGCAGGGCGGGGCCGGGGCCGGTGGGCGGCACGCGCGGCGCGGGCGCGGGCGCACGCCAGCTGGGCGGCGGGGCGAGGGCGGTGCCGGTGCTGAGGTCGCTGGCAGCGACGCCGCCGGTGCAGAGCGACGACGACAGCGGCGATGCGCCGCCGGGGGCGACGGCGGCTGCGGGGGCGGCGCGGCGTGGGGCCAAGAGGAACAACCAGGGCGGGTCAGAGGAGGGTGATGGATGACAGGTCTGTGAGGCGGTCATCACAGCATGCAGTGACAGCCTGGCTCTGACCCAGAAGCCCACACTACAGCGTGCGGCCGGCGCCAGGCGGCACGCACCAGGGCCCCACCTGGGTGTGCCGCCCCCCGCCAGCGCAGCGGCGCGGCCGCCGCCGCCGCCGCCGCTGAGGCGTGGCCATGGCCGTGGCCGTGGTGGTGGTGGTGATGGCCCAGGCCGACCCCGACGAGCTCGGCCGCTGCGTCCAGATCATCGGGGCCGAAGTCTATGCCCAAATCATCATCGCCCATACCTAGGGCCGTCAAGACGTCGTCTTCGTCCTCAAAGCAGCAGTCCGCGCCCAGGCCGGCGCCGGCGTCGCCGCAGCGGGGCGCGGCCGGGGGCCCGGCGGCGTCGCAGGCGGGCGGCGGC